ACCATCGCGACTCCGTGCTGCATCGCCGCCGTCGCACACCGCAGCCTCGACCGTTAACGCAAGCCAGGCCTTCGCTGTTCGTACTCCCCGTCGCCATCCAGCGCCCCGCGATCGCACAGGCGGCCTCCAGCAGACGCGCAAGCTAGCCCGCGAGCACGCCACGCAAAGCTGCCGTGCGAAGCGATCGCATCGCGACCCTTCTCGCCCCCGTTCAGCCCTTATTTTGTTTGTTTTTCCCGAGAACGGTACAAGGATGAAACCTCCCCTTATTTTTATATGTGTATATGATGTATGTGCTAAGATTGAATGAATTTGCATGTTAGGGCTTGTGAATTAATCGATTAATTTCATGTTATAACCGTTAATTGTGAAAGCATGTGTTTTGTGCATAAATCGTGAATAGGGCTGTGGATTATTGGAACATTTGAAGTCTTTGGCCTCATGATGAAGGCCTTAGACGAAATTGTTGAGTAAATTATTATTTATGCATTTTTGAATCGAGTAGTGCTGCTGAATATTAGAAAAATCATTTAAAATCGTATACTCGTCCAATTGCTGTGAAAATTGAATTGTATTACCTACTGACTATGATATATAATGTGTAAAAATTTCAAGTCAAAATGAGATCTGTAGCTATGTCAAATGTCGATTCGAAGTTCTGGTCAGAAACTTTGAAAAATCGTTAAAAACCATATTCTTGGAATTTTGCTGTGATTTTTGGTGAGTATTAGTAATTTGATGATATTTGTGTTGTGCCCAAATTTCGTTGAAAAATTCAAAGGATTGCCCGGTGAACTAGAAAGTTCAGATTTTCATCGTCTTTCTGTAAAAATTGGTTGATTGTGTTAAACTGAAGAGTTGAGTCTGAAACCTTGTGAAAATGTGACTTTCTGGGTCTATTTTAATGTTTAAAAATGTCAAGTAAATTGGTCGAGTGAATTTTTAAATCGGTCGGTCCTATTTGAAACCCTGCTTGTCTGCCGGGCCCTGTGCACTGCTGCCAGCACCCGCCAGCGCCCCAGCGCACGCCAGCGCGCACGCACAGTGCCCCAGCGCCGCGG